AACCACCTGGACACGTTCCTGTGCAACCTGCTCTAGGTGGGTCTGCTCTGGCTGGAGGGTTGGACTAGATGATCTCCAGAGGTCCCTTCCAACGCCGTAGCATTCTGTGATTCCGTGATTTTCCTCAAAAGGTAGAAAAACCAGAACACTCTCACAGCAACAGAAGTGGTTCCTCAAGCAGCACATCTACTAGGGATTGTGTGGTTGCAGGATTTCCCTCAAGGTCAGGGGTTTACTCTCTGTTCTCTCCCTCGGCCCATCAGAAAACATGCACTTGTTTCACACCTGGAAATCTCCTCCATCCCTGGGCGGTGCTACAGGAAGCAGCAGTAGGAAGAAGGCAAGAGAGATGTTTGGAGAGCAGGGACTCATTGACCACATAAGCTGAAGCTGTGGGATATGTGGACAGACTTAATTTCCCTCACACGTCCTGGAACCAGATCCAACGCAGAAGAGAATTCTATCCCTTCAGGTTGCATTGGTTACCAAATACGTCAGAATCCAGGCGGCTCGTACATCTCAAAAGAATAATATTAACTGCCTGGGCCACCCACAAAAACATATGCCTACCTGTGGAGTAGTAAATAATTTATTTTTTTTTTTTAAAAGATGAGTTTGTTGTATACAACAGTCATTAACTAGACTCTGTGTTGAGAACCACGATTTTTCACCAGCCAACTACAAAAAGAATAGCTTTGCTGAAAACTTTTTCATACTTTTCATGAAGGAACCGGGCCGACGCGCAGAGGCAAGGCACGGAGAGAGGCCTCCATCCAGCAACACACACCACACACTGTTCTACAGGCACAACCAACAGCCACAGAGGCAGCCGCTGCTTTCCTTGGCCAAAGTCACGTTCCTCACCAAGGACACCTTGGGCAGCCCCTCCAACTTCACCCCCACTGAAATGTCATTTTCTTTACGTGCTTTGGGCCACCCGCTCCTTCCTGGCACTGCGCAGGCATGGGGGCACACGTGCCAACAATTCTCCTTCTACCCAAAGGCCAGGCTGCCTCTCGTTTTCCTGACAATTCACTCTTCAGGCAGCAGAAACCCAGATTGCAAAGGCTCAGTTGAAAACTAAACATTCAAAGTTCTAATTCCTCATTTTCCAACAATCCTTCTAAAAAACATCGCACTTCGCTGTTGCAGTTGCTCCCCCTCCCCCTCCCTTTCCCCCTCCCCGACACAATAATTCATTTCTACCTCAATAGCAGATGCAGTTGCTTTCTTGTGAAAACCCAGAGTTTAAAGATGACTTCTTCCACTTGCCATAATCCATTGTGTGGGAGAAACAGACACACAATATCACATTGTTCCCCCTACAACACTTTGAGCTGTACTTTCTGCTCTGAACACACTGAAACTCCACTTGAGGCTGCAGCAATTTCCATGCAGGAGGCAAAGGAGAATCTTGTATCTGATCTAATACGGGATAAATCAATGTGCACTCATTTATCGCTTATAGTTCCCATCAGCTCAAGGAGAGACACTGTCCTAGAGTTTCAAGGCTATCCACACTGCCTTTGTGTAGGGAAAACACACCTCACACTTGGAGATATTTTGAGAACCCCGTTTGAACGCTTCCCAGGAGTTTGGGTGAGGGATGGGAAATCGCTAAACCCTGGCTGCTTCTCAGCGGTTTCAGTACGTGATTATAGGAAAGGCTGCGCAAGGATGGCATCCCCATGTTCACCTTCTAGAGAAATTCAGGCAGTAATACTCCTTCACCTCAGATGGGTGCTGGGAAGCTCAATTAGAGTGTGTACAGCACTCAGAGATTCTCAGATAAGATGTACAAGGGAAGGGCAGCATCATATTAATTAGCGGGGATTCAAGTGACCAAAGCGCTTCTCTCTGTCTCCTTCAGCTGTTGGTGCTTGAAAAGGAAAATTACCCAGCACCTCAGTCCTTCATGTCATAGTCAGAAAACCATCGGCACCAGGGGGACCAGGTTTTGCTGGATGTGGTCTGAATTCCCCGTCAACTTTGCAGGATTCTGACCTTTTGCTGTGGCTACAAACATGAGCTCCCTGTAAGACACACATCCCAGCACGCGCCAAGGATGGCAGAGCTTTAATATTCCTCCCCATGCAAGTATTTCCTCCCATTAAGTGCTTAAGAGCTGCATGATTAGGGAGATTAATTTTTGCAGCTGGACATTTTCTTTAAGAATGTAATTTTCCACACAGTTTTCTCATTTAGCTTTCTTTTATTCTAACTCCCCGGCATTCGCTTACCCAGAAGCAGGGCTCTTCTGCAAGGTGGGGGAAGGAAGATGCTCTTGCACTTTAATCCTTTCTCTTTACATCTGCAACAGGCTTTTACTTAGTTCAACCCAGTAACTTGTCTGCATTTCCAGACAACCAACCCCAAGAGTCCAAAACTACAAACTCATTTATCCAAGGACCTGATTGTAACAAAGCTACAAGATGGATCAATTTTTTAAAAAAAAAAAAAAAGCCCAAGAAACTCCTTAAAAAACATGAGAGTTGCTACACTGACATCACACAGGTACACAGCAAGATGGTTGTGACAGGCTGGAATATGGATTTAAAATTTAGAGAGGTTCATTAACATTGCAACATAGAATTAGAGTGCAACTTAATTATCATCAACCTCTGACGCAGGATTTAGCGTCAGGGCGGTTACACCCGCTTTGTCTTTCCCTTGGCGTCTCCTGGGAAGAGGATGATGGGTCCTTCACTGCAACCAGTCCCAGCTGGTATCTGGGGACACACTTAAACAAAAGCTTTGTGTTTAAGCTGCCACCAAATCCCTAGGAACCAACGATCAGGCACAGTAACACGGGAACTATTCCTCCAAATTTTGGTTGAATATTCTGTTACAAGAGTTTAGGCATAAAGAAGACCAAACCAGAAGGAAACAGCCTCCAGACCTTCCCCGTCCCCATGCCCTCCTCATCATCACCCTGGCAGGCTGTCCCTTTGCTCAAAAGGGCTTCTCACATCCTCTTTTTGCCCTGAAAAAGACAAGCTTCTGAGTAAAAATGTGGGTTTTATCCAGTTCTGTTAATGCCATTTCAGTCCTCAGCAGAGAAGTGGAGGCAGAGCAGAGGGGAAACATTAGAATTCCTCACAGACTCCACAAGACACAACTTCTCTGCATTTCACAGTGGATTTTCTTCGCAGGCAAAGAGGAAAGCTGGGCTACATGTTCTGTTTTTTAAACAAGCTTACTTTGCAAGCGACGGCGTTAGTCTGCTCACTCACTAATTTAAGCTTCCCGCTTCTCAGAGATAAATGTGCCTTTCAAGTTGTTTATGCCAGCCTTCCTCTCTTAATCTTTCATCCCACTCTCCTGGTACCCACCGACTTCAGAGGGCTCCGTGTCATCCAGTGGCACTTGCACAGAATGAGCTTTATATTTTTCCAGCAAATTCAACTTTAAAAGCGATTAAAAACATATAGCAAAATAATGGCTCTTCAATACCAAGGGACACTTCACTTGAAGAATTCCAGGGAATGAATTCTCAAAAACCACACAGCGATCTTTTAAAAAGCACAAAATTGGTCCCTAAACAATTTCCCTGTATTTCAAGGGAAGCAGACTGTGGAATATTTTCATTTATTAATACGTTCATTCTCATGCTTGTGCTTTAACACAGTCGTGCTAGCTTTAACCAAATGCTAAACTCCATACAACTTCTTCTTTAAAGGGATAGGAGATGGGTGGAAGACAAAGCTGAGAGAAGAGTGATTAAAATTAGTCACAAGAAAGCCTATAAATACATCAGTGGACAGAGGAAGCTTTCTCTCTTCCATTTAACTTAAAAATAGCTAAACTCTAAAAGACAGAGCAGATGCGATGGAAAAGCAATGCAGCAGAGCTTAGAGAAAGTCAGCTGGGTAATTTAGCCAGGGATGTATGTTGCAGGGGTGGAAGAGGAGGAGGAGGAATCTTGACTGTCAGAAACTAGCTACTGGCTCAGGAAGACACAGAAGGAGAAAATTAAGGGAACCCATATGATTGCAAGAGAGAAATCAAATCAGACTCACAGAGGCAGTATGGAATAGAGGTATAATGTAGGAAAAAGGGATGCCAGGCCAAGAAGCAATTTATTTGCTATAAATGTTAACCTTGTGGCAGCGAGGGCTTGAACAGAATCACAAGACCTGTGCATACACCTGCAATGTCAATTAGAAGTCAGAGGGATGTGTTGAACAAAACTGCTTGAATACATTCAACGAGGTAGAACATAAACCAGAAACTCACTGATCATGCTCAAACACATCTGTTGTTCCCACCTCACCTCGCGTGGGGTGATGGCTTTAACCAAGGAGGAGAAAGCAATGCTTTGAAGAGATGGTGGCTTTTCTTTCCCCCCTCACAACACTCCTAGGCTGGCTCTGTTCCACTGAATACCTGGGGCTAAGAGGAGGATGAACATACTGCCTTGAAAGTACTCCAGGTTCTTTGATAAGAATACAATAAAGATGTTAAAGGGATTTACCAACACGTACCGCTTTCCTTACTGCAAAAACCAGAAAGTAAACTTGAAATAGGCAAAAAACCAGTTGCAAAGGATAGATAGTTTACAGCACTAGGAAAATATTACGTGACATTATTGGAGCTGCTGCACCTGACAGCTCAGGCCAGTGGTACGGCACAGCAGGCCAGTGCAAAGAAAAGGAGATGCTCTAGGCCAGCGTGCAGGAAAGGAGAGTTGAGCTTAAGGACAGCGAGGTCACATGTTATTACTTGGAAACCACAAAAAACAAAAAAGTATGTTAGATCCTGTCCATCCATGTTTACATCCAGCGTCCTCCCCCCTTGGGGCGTAACACGTGAGCTGTGAGTAAATAAGCAGCACAATAAGCAACTTCCTGATCTCAATTTCTCAGGCAGCCGCCGGGACGCTGAATGACAGCTCTGAGAGTGTCAAGTCCTGGCAAGCACAAGAAAGAGTGGTGACCACAGAGAGGAAAAACAAGCGAGGCCGTCGCAGCAGACAGGAAACAACCATAAAGTGATCTTACTTTCGTTAGGCAGCTCCTCCCGATCCGGGTCATCTAGAGGGGCCGAGGCGCCGCTTCCACTCTCGTCCAGGGTGAGGATGAGGGGAACGTCATCATCCATGCTCACGGCCATCCTGTCCCTTCAGAGGCTCCCGCTCCGAGAACTTTAAATAACGCCTTTTTCAGTTCCACTTGTACTGCTCTTATGTCAAAAACTTTCCCCAGGGAGTCTTCCATCAGGAGTGTCTTCTAGACATAAGAATATACAGGGACGTGTACCCATCTCTAGAGATCTCAGTTCAAAAAAAGGATGTAGTCACTTGCTTTCGAAAAGCAGGGCAGGATACTAGACTCAACGGCAGTTATTTAGGCAAAAGCTAAATTCACAAAGTCAGGTCTGGGCTGCCCCATTCCCGTCAGCGCAGGGCTGGCAGTACAGCACGGAAGCAAAAGTGTGTGCTTCTGGCCAAACTCCTGCCCAGTCAGCACAAGGAGAAGCAGGCGGGCGTGACGCATCGGGAGCCAGCATGATGCTAAGTGTCACCCTCACACACCGCCCTTTCCCCGGCCCTGCCAAAATGCCTCCGCTGCAGGTGGGGAGGGCAAAGAGGGAGGAAAGGCGGCCAGTTGGAATCTGCACACCTGAAGTTCCCGTTGGCTGTTTTTTTACCGGCTGATGTCACTGTCACACGAAAGTCACGGATTTTCTTTAAAAGACAAAACCAGGCAGGCCCGGGACGGCGTTACAGGGACGCTCCGCAACCCGTGCTGCCCACGAAGGTGTTACTCTCCCGGTCTCTTTCCCCGTAGGCCGCGGTGGGGAGGGCAGGGGGAAGTCACGGCGGAGGAGGCCGCATCGCCCACAGCAACAGGCCGGTCCCCCGCCGCCTGGGGAGGCTCACCGAGGGCTGGGACGGGAGCTTTCGCCGCCGGGTGGCAGGCAGAACGGCCGGAACCGGGCTCCTCCCGTGGCCTAGGAGAGAGGGACACCGAGACGGGGCTGTCACTGTCACCGCGCTGTGGAGGCC